CCTTGCATCCCCAGCATTTTCGGCAGTCCTGGCAACCCTCACATCCAGCCACAGCGCCTGCAGGTTGCCAACCCGCAAGCCACATCGCCTGCAGCTTGCCAACCTGCAAGCCACAGCGCCTGCAGGTTGCCAACCTGCAGCCTTTGTTGCGCCAAGACCCTTGCATCCCCAGCATTTTCGGCAGTTGCTTGACCCTGGCAACCCTCACATCCAGCCACAGCGCCTGCAGGTTGCCAATCTGCAAGCCACATCGCCTGCAGCTTGCCAACCTGCAAGCCACAGCGCTTGCAGGTTGCCAACCTGCAGCCTTTGTTGCGCCAAGACCCTTGCATCCCCAGCATTTTCTGCGGTTGCTTGACCCTGGCAACCCTCACATCCAGCCACAGCGCCTGCAGGTTGCCAACCTGTAGGCCCAAGATCCGAGCCAAGGGGTTGCAGGTTGGCAACCCGCAGAGGTGGCTGGAGCCAAGAAATGCTGGGGATGCGTGCTTGCAACTTGACAACCTCTGAGGTGCTCATTCATTTTCTTCCAGCAACTTGTCTCATTTTGACCTGTGTTCATTGCAGGAACTCCAGCCTTTGGGTTTTCATGGTCAGGGATCACGTGGCACAAGAGCCACATGGCTCTCTGAGCGGATCCTTCCAAGCCTTGTGCTCGTCGAATGGATCTTTGGAAGTCTGGACGAACGGCAGCTGCCAGTCTCAGAGCCCTCGCTTCGGATTGAGCTGACCGATTTCGGGGCTAAAATCAGACATCAGCGATGCAACCCCTGCTAAATTAGCTGGTTGGAAGGGAGCCGTTCGGAGCTGGGGGTATCCAAGTTTCTCTTTGAAGAGAGAGCCTTTTTGGAGGTACCAGGAGTTCTAGGTGAGATTTTTTACTTGAATTGTAGCATGTTGCCCGGAAATGAACTGCTTGCGTCCGGAGTTCCCTGGCCATTGCAGAGGCTCAACAGAAGCCCCGCCTTGGCCAGCGAAAACGAAACGCCGTGGGCACGGCGGTCGAGCTCCCCAGTGCCGATTTCCAGGCGGCTGACAAGCACCACGGGTCCCAAGAAGTGTAGTTGATAACTTGGTGACTCCCAGCCATCCCCTTAGCCTTTCAGTTTTTTTAGTGTTTATTTAACCCACTAAAAGCTAAGCTTTTTGCGGCGGATCTGCGGTCAGCCCAGATAAGATTGAATTAACAAAGGAGACACTGGTGCCAACATCATGGCAGAGATCTTCACGGAATAATGTGACTTGTACGGAAATAGGGGTCTTTCTTGCGGACATGGCTTGGCTGATCCGACCAGAGAATCTCACAGGTTTAGTTGGCTGCTTCATGGACACGTGTCTCCATCACTGCCAACAACGCACATAAATTCCTCAAAACTTGGGTTTTGAATGCTTTCAGATCGGTATCGCTTCGGTGAAACTTTGGATGGTCGTTGTCCTCAATCAACAAGCTGTTCTGTCAATCCTCGGAAGGGATCAAAGATGGGGCTCTAGCGTGCAGCAGCCTGAACATGACTTGCACAGATGTTCAAACTGTGTTGGCGACACCAACGCTCGCGGGCAATGCGAAAGGTGTACGCATGCTGTTGACAGCTTTTGTTTCGGAATCCTTGTTGTTAAGTTGCATGGACTTATGAGTGGGTCAGAGCTTGATGCAAAAACAATAATCTGCTTTCCATTCATGTCTGCTTCGCTCCATTGAAGCCCCTTATGGAAAGGGCAAGACTAGACGGCCCAATTCCCTTTGCGTGGGCAAGTAAACCTGCGAATCGTGGCTTTCTACTTTCAGCCAACTGTATTTGGAACCAACCCAGAAGCGGCTTTTTTGGACTGGAGGATGCTGAAGCCATGGTGACGTTTGGCGAGACACTGGGAGAGGCCTGCTTGCCGTGTATGTACAAAGCTGCCAGAGCCGCGAGCAAACAGGGTCCCTCAAAGTGGTTGCATCTTGAGCAAGAGTTCTCTTTTTGGTGGGCTTTCCCTTGCGACCTATGTTTAGAGGGTACAGTAATTTTGAGGTTACAGCCAAGCCACCAGAAGCGACCAAAGTGCCATCCCGGTTGGTCTCCGAAAGAAGAATTCTGAACTCACAGGAGGGTTCTTAGAGTTCTGTGTTTCCGTGATGTATGCATCGTTTGGACCGGCGTTCCTTTTTTTGGCGGGGTGATGCTTGAAGGTTTAAACCATGCGCAGTGCAAAACAACTCGAAGCTTTGTGAACCTCTCTCTCTCGCTCTCTCTCTTTTTTGCATTCCAAGAGGACCTCAGTTTTGCTCTACGAACAAACGTAGTATCCCTTGACCGGAACATGTGTGACAAGCAAGCCACAAGCTCACCTGTAGGCTCCGAGCTTAAGGGACCAGGAAGTGTCCTTCTGACGTGGGCATTCCTCAAGGAATCTTTGAGCGTGGCAGTTTGGCAGTTTGGCAGTTTGTTTCGAGAAGAACAACAGGGTTCCCCCAATTCAATGAACAAGGGTGCATTCGATCCTTGAAGTCATGGACCATCGCAGAAAAGCTCATAGCACTTGGCGAAAGCTAAGGCGAAATGACCTGAGGTTGTTGGAGATCCAGAGCCCCTTCTTGCTTGTGAACTGAAGTTGTTTATCGCTTTTGTTGGGAAGCCGATTTTGCTGATACCCGGAGAAACTGTCAACCTTCGGAGTCAAGAGGTCCCGATTTCCCAACTCAAAGCTTGTTTGCGAGGGCTAAGTGAGGATCATTTGCCGCTTAGGTTTGGTCACGGCTCCTCTCCAGCCAACTCCGACCCGGACGCAAGCTCCGCATGCTTATCCTGGCAGAAGCCTCCGAAAGAAAGACCATGTTGCATGCCACTGCGCTGTTAGGCTTGTTTGGGTGTGTGTGTGTGTTTATGTTTTGTTCATCATCATCATCATCATCATCATCATCATCATCATCATCATCATCATCATCATCATCATCATGTTGATTATTCTTATTAGTAGTTGCTGATTTCTCGTTTTGTTGAGTTCAGCTAAATTTCACCGGGGACCCGTTTGGGAACTTCTGGATGCTTACAGCGACTTTTGGAGCTTTTCTTATTGGGGGCTGTGGAGCACTACCGCAAGGTAGGTACTGTGAGTCTTTTTCCTTCCAGGGCCTTTCAAATCCGGAGCTTTGGATGCGTGGAGATGGCGGGAGCGAGCCGAAATTTCTGAAGGGCCCGTGTGGGCGAGCCACCAATGGGCCTGGGCCGGAATGCGAGGCGGAAGGTGTACCCATCCGTTGCACTGGTTGCACCGGTTGCACGGAGAGGCAAGGGTGTTCCGGATTGAATCTGGCCTGATACATTCAAATGGCTGTGGCTCACAAAAATGTACCCAAAATGACCCCTAGGTAAATGGAAACAAAGACCAAAACCTGCGGTTTGCCCTGGCTCGTAAATTTTGAGCCACACCCAACTGTACATGCTTTGGGATTAGATTTGTTCATGCTTTTCAGCTGGGGAGACCCCTATACCTCGAGCATCTTGTGTTATCCTGTTTGAGGCAAGGTCAAGGAGGTTCCCACTGAAACTGAGATCAGGTTGCATTTTGTTGGACATGGCTTGGGCCATTTTAAGAAATCATATTATATCCCAACTCGTCAAGGGGCGCCACCACTTTGAAAAGGCCCCTTCAAAACTTCAAAGCTGTGCTCTTTGAAGGCCTGGCTTCAACACGTCTCCGCCTATTTGGGGCCCAGATTCTGGGCCCCTTCCACCCTGCACCAAAGCGCCGTTCGGGTCCCGCCCGTCCAAAGGCCCGTGCCCCGATCTTTTATAATTGCGGCGATGTGGCTATGGGTCAAAACCGTTTGGGATCCCATTTTGGTTGGTATTGGTGAATTCACCACCCAAATTTTAGAACCGATTTTGGTTGGATTGGTTGATGTTCACTGGGCCTGCGATTGGGATTTTGGCCCATGGCCACGTGAACTTCTCGCCGAGTCGGGCCGTGTTGGCCCAGAGGTTGCCTGCAAGACTAGAGCCGTTGCTGCGTTTCGTGCGCATGCCCCGCGGAGATTGGGAGGCGCCGCGCCCTGCGAAGCTGGCATGACTCGGCCAGAAAGGTGGATGTCGATACCTCTGGACCCCTTTGGACTATGGAAGCGTCAACTAGAAGAGGCCGAGTGTCCAAAAAGCCTTGAGAGATACATTTGAGCCAAAGCTGAGGTCAGCGGCAGAGCTCCCAAAACGTCTGCTTTTGGCCGACAGGGGCAGGCAAAGTTCAACTGTCCCCGGCGATGCCGCGATGCCCTCGTGGGCCCGTAGTGGTCATGGGCTCTCGCAGTCTGACGGATCCTGAGAGGTCAAGCGTTGGGGGAGTAAGGCAAGCTGAACCAAGACGAAAAAGGCGGAGCGTCGACAACATGAAAGGCCCTCACCGGACGTTTGGTATTCTTGCCATTCGTAGATCAGCATCGACTGGCCAAGGAGCTGGGGTGACTCTCCAAGTTTCGTCAATGGTCCATGGCTCGTGTAGCTATGTCATCCTACTGTATGCGGATTGTATTCATGTTCAACTGAATCTGCCTGTTGGCTACCAAAGTTGACGCTGAAAGGCCCACACTTACCAAATTACTGGTTCTGAATTGCGGGGACTCACTGAGCTAAAATCTGCGCAACTTATATATGCTAGCTCATCCGGGTCAACAGAGCTCGTTTGTGAAGTTGGCTCGGACATGCGCGCAGATTCCAACGTCACAGTGTCATGAATATTGACCATGCCTGTCAACAGAGAACAACTAAATATAATTTTCTCTCTTGCCATCTAGGACTGGGAAATTACCGCGTTGCACCGCGTTTGGGTCCTTGGGTCTTTAGGTCTTTCGAGTAGTCCAATCTGGTGACCACTTGTGCCCCTCCAGCAAACACCATTACACCACAGCCTTGTTTCTGGGGTCTTCTTCACCTCTTTGATATTTAGAAAACTCAATATGGACCATAATCTGAACATCATATTCTTTGTCACAACCCGTAGGCTAAATACAAGCAGAATCTGAACTGCATAGCCCAGATGTGGGCCAACGACTCGACTGTTTCTCCTGAGCGCCATGCTGCGGCTGCTGCTGCTGGCGCCATTTGGCGCGCGGGGCATGGAGTGCTCGTCCATCCTGGACGGCACCTCCTGCGGGATCAACGGGAGGTGTGGCACGGATCCCAGCACGCGAGAGAGCAAGTGCCTGCTGGAGGACGTCATCGCCTGCGAGGGAAAGGCGTGGGATTGGGAAAAGCATTTGACCGACTACGCCAGCTATGGCTTCTTGATGGGAAGCCCGAAGTCCGAAAACGTGATGAGAGTAGCTTGTAGGTTCTAAACCAGGCAGGTGGAAGGAATAATGCGAAACCAGACATGGGACTTTTATAGAGGAGTGCACAGGAGAACAGCACTTTCCAAGGAACCTTGTTTTCTCACACGGGAACTTCGAGGCAAAGCAGTTTAGAAGATCCAAATTGAGCAGTGATGGCCAGAGTAGGGCTCCCAAGAGTCGTTGTGGATACACATGTTGGGAGGAGGCTCCTTAGCTTAAGAATTCTGAATGATTTCATAGGTTGGCTGGGTTGTTCAACATCATGCTTAGCCCTTTTGCCAGATGATAGGGGTTGGATTGGTGCCCTTGTGAAACGAACACACCAACACGCCTACGAAGGCACTCACACAGACGGAATGTGCGTGATTCAGCATGGGAGCACTATTCACCAGCAACTACCATCACGGGCATCCTAACGCCTATTATTTCCGGTTTCCCTAAACCCAGGAGGGTGAACAGAAGTACGGGAACCCTTAAAATGGTGGTTGTCCTGTCTGTTTTGTCCGTAAACTAAGCTGAGAATGACATCTTCAAGAAATGACACACCACACCCATGTCCGCAATCGTCCGAGCCACTGGGTTGACGCAGTCTTCTTTTTTTTCCGCAGCGCTGCTCGATTTGACATGACCAGGGAGGTTCCTCAACTATTCTATATTTCAGGGTAGACTAATTGTGGGTGTGTTTGTGTTAGGGGGGCCCAAAATAGCGCAACAGCTTTCCTTTTGGTTTCCCTTTAAAGCCCACAAAAAGCTGGTAGCCCAAAGAATGACAGCCCCGTATGAAGCAGGCGAAGGGAGACACCTGTACCCTGTCGGTGGGCAAGAGCTCCCATACCTATATCTGCACGGAGGACCGGGTGAGGATCATGTCTCCTCTGGGCTGGTTTGATATCAGAAGGAGCAACTTCCCTCATGTTCGGATTCCAGCCAGGAAGCAAACCGGATTCAACAACGACCAAACAGAAAAACAAATGGATTCGTATCAGGCACCCTTGCCGAAGAGGTTCCTCGCTCGCTCCGCGGCACCCTTGATGTTGCAGTTTTCGAAGTTCGGGTTGACAACTTGATGAGTTTCCTCTTGGTAGGCCGATGTATTGAGAGGACACATAGGAAACCCTGAATCTCGTTCTCCTTGTGGGAACTGGCGCGGGTTGGGTTTCGGAAGCATTCCGAGGCCGATCAAACATATAGCCAGGAATAATTTGAATGTTCCGGTCCAGGCTTGGGCCAGCTTGAAGCAGCCTCTGTGAACTGCGCGAAACCGAAAGGAGTTTGTTGCAACATGGGTGTGTTTCTTTTGAGGTTACCCCTTTTCAGCTTGGTTTAAAAGGCGATTGTTTCTATAAAGAAACCACCCATGCGGTCACTCACACCATGATCCCACATGTTTTGTCCGGGGTTTGGCTCCTTCTCCCCCCCCCCACGGCAGATTCCTGTTTTTTCAGGACGGCTCCGGGCTGCGGTGCTCGGAGGACTGCGGTCCAAGACCCGACGGCGTGGACTGTGAGCAGTTCATGTGGCAGCTGTCCTCAACGGACCTGTACATGAGTGACTCCAAATGTGGCTTGCCTCAGCTTGAGGCTGTTTGAGCCATTTCCCGAACCTCAAGAGGCGATCGTTTCAAGGGAACAACTTAAAGGGAAATCCAGCGACCCCTGTCTATGGAACAACCATGGCCTTAGCCCCTCAATAAGGCTCAGGCATGACTTCAAGTGCGGCTTGGCTTTTGTGAGAGCCTGACAGGGTTTGCCTTTTAGGCTCCCTACTTTTTTGAACACCAAGTTGTCAGGGGGCAGACTACCCAGCTTGCGATGTGTAGGACAATGCGTGTAGTATCTGAAAGAAACTCACTTGTCAGAATTGGTCCCAGGGCCACAGTTTGGGCAAGGAGAACCAAGCAGGACTGCAAAATCAGAAGCGCCACACTTGATGCAAGCACCTGCCGGACCACACCTAATCTTCAGTTTCTCGATGCGCTGCCATGCACCGCATAGGGGGAAGCGCCGTCAACTGCAATAAATGCTTTGCCAAAACAAAAGCATGACTCAAGCAAAAGCGCAAGCAAGGAGGCAAGCAGGCACGTAAGGAAGGAAGCAAGGAAGCAAGCAAGGAAGCAAGCAAGCAAGCAAGCAAGCAAGCAAGCAAGCAAGCAAGCAAGCAAGCAAGCAAGCAAGCAAGCAAGCAAGCCAGCAAGCCAGCAAGCCAGCAAGCCAGCAAGCCAGCAAGCCAGCAAGCCAGTGAGCGAGCAGTGAATAAGCAACAACGAAGCCCACAAGAAAGCAAACGAGCTAACACACAAACATACAAACACGCAAACCGTCAAAGCGCACAGACAGAAAGAAGGCAATACATATATATAAACAAAGAGGAAGGAAATAAACACAGAAAAACATGACATAAAGAAAGAAAGAAAGAAAGAAAGAAAGAAAGAAAGAAAGAAAGAAAGAAAAAAAGAAAGAAAGAAAGAAAGAAAGAAAGAAAGAAAGAAAGAAAGAAAGAAAGAAAGAAAGAAAGAAAGAAAGAAAGAAAGAAAGAAAGAAAGAAATAAAGAAAGAAAGAAAGAAAGAAAGAAATAAAGAAAGAAAATAAATAAACAAAGAAATACATAACATTCAAAACACAAAAAACATAAATAACAAGAAAGAAATAAATATAGATAGAAAGAAAGAAATCAGTCAATATAATACATAAGGAAAACAATAAAGACAGAACGAAAGAAGGACGGAAGGAAAGAAGGAAGTGAGACAGTAAAGACACATACGTAAACAAAATAAGAAAGACACCAAGAAAGCCAGGCCGATAAACAGAAAGAAGGAACATCAACGAACAGAACATAAAGACAAAGTAACAACATAGAGAAAGACATAAACAAATTATACACAAGACAATAAGTAGACATAAATGCATAAATCTAGAACGAAGTAATGAAAGGCAGACAGACAGACAAGCATGCACGCACGCAAGCAGACAAGCACGAGAGCAGGCAAAGAGGCAAGCAGGCAACCAAGCACACATTGTTGTTCATCCTCCGTGAGAGAAAAGAGAGAGAAGAAGAAAGAGGGTTCAGTGCCCTGAGTGTCCCAGTGCGGGTTTAGCTTGTGCTTGCTGCGGGCTGTGGGGGCATGTTCTTTGCCAGACACCCACACCCACACGCAAACACCCAACCACAAACGCAAGCACACAAGCACGATTGAACAAAAAACAACCTGAAGCACACGAACACCACCCACCCGCTCGCTTGCTCACACTCGCGCTCTCTCTTTTTGGCACTCTCACTCTCACTCTCATTTTGACCCGCTCTCACTCTCACTCTCACTCTCACTCTCACTCTCACTCTCACTCACTCTTATGCACTCGCTCACTGTCACTCTCGCTCTCACTCACTCACTCACTCACTCACTCACTCACTCACTCACTCACTCACTCACTCACTCACTCACTCACTCACTCACTCACTCACTCACTCACTCACTCACTCACTCACTCACTCACTCACTCACTCACTCACTCACTCACTCACACTCACTCACTCACTCACTCACTCACTCACTCACTCACTCACTCACTCACTCACTCACTCACTCACTCACTCACTCTCTCGCTCTCTCTCTCTCTCTCTTTCTCTCCTTCTCAGACGCGCTCAATTAGACTTGCACGTTTTTCGAGACGCTGAGGTGGCACTTCTGCGGTGTCGGCAGATCGAAAGTGCCTCCCTCGGCAAGAGGTGGCCTGCGAGGGATTGAGCGCTGGGGCGGTGTGCTCCTTCTTCAAAGACTCGGAGGCGAAGTTTGTTGAAACAATCTGACTTGTTTTGCCCTTGCTAAAGGAACATGGGATAAAACACAGGGGGTATTTTGGGACTAAACGAGGGGAACCGTCCCAAAATCAAGCTTGGGTCAAAAATCGTGGCTTTCTTGTTTAACAGCCATCAAACAGTGACCCACCCAGCAACTGCACACCCTTTTGTACCGGGCAACCAAGATAGCGTGATGACATGTTCACCATCCCAGGCTATTCCTTGTAAACCACAAGGATCTTCAAACGGATCCTCGACTGTTTGGATTTGACATTTCCACTCACTTCCTTTCTTCCTGAACTTTAATACTTTTTTGTAAGACCATTTGAGTGGACAAATAAGTTTGGAGACATGAAAGCAACCCTATACTTCTCAAAAAATGCCGGTGCTCAATGCTCAATAGGGAATGACCCAGGGTGTTGGGAATGAACCTAGGGTTTCCCTGAAAGGAAAGAATAGGGGATTGTTTGTAGGAAACATTCCAACTCATCCCCTGCTGAGAACCAGCAAGAAAGCAAACCTTGAGAGGATGTGAGCGTTTGCCAGAGCTCCGGCGGCGGCTTAGAGTGCTTGCCGGCCAACGCAGCACCTGCAGGCAGGGAGCAAGGCCAAAGACAAGGAACCAGGGGTCAAGGCGTAGCAGTCATACCGTTTCCAAAAAGGCCTCTATGGAAACTGTTACTAGGCACAGCAAGCCAGAGAAAATCACAGGAAGCTATGCAATCCCCACGAACAACTAGATGATCCTTAACAACCCTGGACAATCCCTACAAAGAGCTGCCCCCCCCCAAAAGAAAACAACCAAAAAAACGTATAGTGTCCGCTTTGTAAGGTCTTCATAGTAGTTGTTGTTCGACTTATATTAGAAAAGTCTTTGCAGCATTTTAATCCTCATCCCAACCAGTTCGCAACCGTTTCCAAGCGTTTCCGATCTTGTTCCAACCTTTTCCCACATGCTATCAACGGCTCCCCAGCTTGTCCCAGCCTTTTCCCAACTTGCTCCCAACCTTTTCCCAATCTGTTCCCCAACCTTTTTGCCAACTTGTTGCCAACATGTTCCCAACCTTTTCTCAACTTAATTCCAACATTTTGTCAACTTTCTCCCCAACCTTTTCCCTAACATGTTTCCAACTTTTTCCCAACTTTTTCCCCAACCTTTTCCCAACTTGTTCCCAACCATTTCCCAACTGTTTCCCAACTTGTTTCCAACCATTTCCCAACTGTTTCCCAACTTGTTTCCAAACCTTTTCCCAACTTGTTCCCAACCTTTTCCCAGCTTGTTGCCAACATTCTCCCAACTTTTTCTCCAGCCTTTGCCCAACTTGTTCCCAACCTTTTCCCAACTTGTTCCCGAACCTTTTTGCCAACTTGTTCCCAACTTGTTCCCCAACCTTTTTTCACAAACCTTGTTCCAATTTTGCCGAACCTTTTGGGCGACTTCGTGTAGAACATCTTCCCATGCAACGCTCCTTGTGGCCGAGGTGCCCAAGAGGGTGACTCCTGCACCAAGTACGCAGCTCGAACGGGACGAACGGCTTTCGAGTAAGAGGGCCTGCGAATCGGATTCTACGCTTCCTAAGCTGCTACCAGTTTCGAATATTTGTTTGCCAGGGGACTTTGCAGTTTTCTTGGCCCTTAAACTGTCCATAGTCCTTTTTGACGATTTTGGTCGAACATGGAAAGGTTGGTTTTGGTTGACCTGGTTGTTAGATCTACCAGGCCATCTATTTTCCCAATATGACGCCTACTGTGGATGGACAAAATCCGCACCACCGAAGAAACCCTGCAATGATATGATGCCCCTGCACAAACAAGCGTTGTGGCTTCAACCATGGTTTCAACCATGGTTTCATAGGTGGTGCGAACAGATGTCGTCCATCTGCAGTACTACGGGTACCTTCCCCATTCTTTCCAGGGATCCTTCTTTCTAGAAAAACTTCCGGAAACTGAGGGAAAACGGATCCGGTTTTTTGGAAAGAACGATGCTTGGAAAGAATTGAAAAGGAATCAAAGCCTAGAACAATGTGTTTCGCATTCGGAGATCGCCTTCGGGCGTCTCGAACAAATTATGTGTTTTCCTTTTTTCGAGGGCCCAGCCCTGAATAGTAGGTCGAAAGACCAAACCCTTCTGCCCAGAAACCGGAAGCCCTGTGCGGTTTTCTTTGAAGCCATCGCTCGAGGGCTTCCGAGGTGAAGAAGAGTAACCGCTGCAGTTCTTACGACCTTAGCTACCGCAGCAAGTATGGCAGGCGGGGTACCGGGACCCAGGGATCCTTCTTTCTAGAAAACCACCAAAAACCCTGGGAAAATGGCTGATTTTTGAAAAGAACGATGGCTGAAAATAATGGAAAAGGAATCACCCCTAAAACAATGGTTCCAGCCATGGTTTCAAAGTGGTGGGAAGCAACCATCCGCAGTAGTCCCAACACATGATTTCCCCCCGTACAGATGTCCAAGTGAAAAGTAACCTTCCATTTGCTTAAGAACATGTTGCTTTTTTCCCGGTTAGGGAATGTATCACTACTGATAATATTACCAGTCTCTCCACGGGACTTACACAAATGGACGTGTAAGGGAGGTGTGCATTTTAGAAGTGCCCACCCCCAACTAACAGGACGGGCTTGAATTAGATCCCGCGGTCAGCATTCCCCTGATGTTCAACACATTGAAATAATGAGTGCTAATATATCCACCATTGATCTAAACTGGGCCATTCTTTACCCTAGGGTTCAACCTCCATTCAAAGAATGGTTGGCCTTCAATTTTTCCAGATGAAGCTCAGGTAAGCCGTTTCGTCTTTTTCCTTAACCTTGTTTCAAGCCATTTGACTCCCAGGGCCCAAGGGTATCTGCCGATTCGCTGCGCAGGGAGTCCGCCTCGGAGCCGCTGGTCTGCCTGGAGGGCGACAAGGCGGCGTGCTACGGGAAGCCGCGGGATGCGCCCTGCGACGGCTACGAGGACGCGGGCTTCGGCCTGGGGGCCCAGCGGCCGGTTCGAGTGGTCCGAGGGGTCCGATAGGGTCAAGGAGTTTCTTGGGTTCCAAGGAACGTGCAGGTTGGGGGTTGTGTGTTTTTTTGGGGGAGCCCATTGTTTGGGTGGCTTTGCTTCGGGGAAATCAAAAGGACTGGTCCAATTTGGGGGTCCAAATGGCGAAAACTTGGCACAGGGATCAGCCGATGGGAAAGCAAGAGACGGGGAATCCCCCTCTTAGCACTTCATAGCATCCTCTCTGAAGCAGCCGCCAAGCCAAAACCCGAAACCTTTTTGAAGAGCCAGTCTCTCGATTCTCCAACTCTTTTGCCACCACCCCCCCCCAGTTTTGGTGCGTTGAATTTGGAAAGAGCCGTGCGTTATCAAGGGAAACCTTTTTCTCAAGGCTGTTTAGCAACAAAATCGAGTGCCGAAGCTTACCAGAATTCGATGATGGACTGCCTTGGGCCAACCGCAGCTTCCTTCCAAGGCTTATTTGCTGGGATCCCCCCCAAGAATTGCGAGTCAAATCACTTGTGCCGTGCAAGGCATGCCTTGCAAAAAATCAACCGCTCTGCGAGGGCTCTTGTTTTTGCTTGAGTTGGATCACTGGCGCCCCGCGGCGGGCGTAGTGCCGTGGACGTGTCTGCTTCTCAAGCTTTCAAAAGCGGTGTTCCTAGTTGAGGGGGACACCCCCGAATTAGTAGAAAGACTTCATTCATCCGGGGTCAACATTACCCCTTCCAGGAGTACGCACTGAAACATGTACCCTCCTTCGAAGAATTGTGGAAGTTCCCAGCAGCCATCATTGCACGGCGGAGTCTTGTCAATTTCAATACATGGTTGCTAGGAGGGCAGAACAACACATAAGGGCAATAACACTGCGCAACAATTCCCAAATTGCATGCCCCCTAGCACCCCGCCAAACACACCTGGCCGTCATCGGCGCAGGTTTTTGCAGATTGACGGTAGGGTGCTAGGGGCATGCAGTCTGGGGTGCTGGTGCAGGTGCTGCTTTGTGATGCTGTTTGGGGCGTTGGTGATGCATTTTTGCAAGCTTGACGACCGGTGTTCTGGGAGTGCTGTCTGGCGCACTGTTGCGATTGATGGCAGAGCGCGGGGAGAGGGGTTAAGCCTGACAGCACGGTGCCAGGGGTGGGGGGGCATGCAGTTTGGGGCTGGTGCAGGTGCTGTTTTGGGGGGCCAATCTTAACAAATGCGCCCGCACCATCACCAGCAACTCACACGGCACCCCAAACAGCACCTACACCAGCACCCCAAACTGCACGCCCCAGTCACAAGTCACTTTCCCTTCTTTATTAGAAGTTAGAACCCCTATAGTGTTCAGCTATCTGGGAAAAAAACAGCACGTGGTTTGATTTGGGCCACTTAAGCAAAGCACTTTTGGATGAGTTTGAGGGTTTTGGGATATACTCCCTGCAAGCCTGTTTCCTTTTGCATCGGCTCAGAATCGAAGCCGGGTGGCGGCTGCCTACCTGGCCCCTTTCTCTTCAAATACACTGGCGGCTACTGTGATGACAGAGAGACCTGCGACGGGGCGACCAAGGCCGGCCTCAGGTTTCAAGATCGCCTTCCCCCTTTGGCTTTCAGTTCTGATTCGGTTATAACCCTAAAACCCCAAGCCCTAAACCCTAAACCCAACCCCCCCCTAACCCCGACAAACCGATTATTTTTGTTTCTTTGTTGCAAGTTGGTCACGGCAAAACCTCTTGGAACAAAAAATGACGGGCCCTGGGTGAAGGGCGAGCAGTCCGCGCTCATCGCCTCTGCACGCGGCCTCAGCCTCGGCTTCGGCTTCTCGCTTGCGATGCTGGCGCTGTGAACCCGCCCTTTGACGCAAGAGGCGGCCGGCGGTTTCCTTTGGGTTGGCCTAGGGCACGTGGATAGCTGGAAAAGGGGAACAAAAGCAACCATTTCACCAGTGCCAACCAACTCAAGTTTCAAACACCTATTGTGCATCCGATGAGGAGACACTTGGAAGGCCGCGCTCCAATGGGCGTGTCTCCTTTCGGCCCGCTTTTGGCCGGGAAAAGGCAACCAGGAGGAAGCATTTTTTCGAGCCGCGGGCCCAGCGCTGAAGCCATGCCGGATGGCACATGTTTCGACGTGGGCAACCCGTGGAAGTCCCAAGAGAATTGGAAGCAAGACGCTGCAGAGAGTGCAGAAGTTGGGTTTACGCGGGCCTGGATTTCTTTGCCCCTCTTAACTTAGGTTTTTATCACCAAAAGAAATGCTGGCAGCGACTGGTCATCGCCTAAGTCTCCTTTGGAATGGCAGCTGTGTTGACTGGTCTTTGAGACCACCTGTTCAGGAGACGCCTCGGAAGGTCCCTAAAAGGTTCCCTTTTACGGATTCATCAAGGGTGATGATGTTTTGATTGGGCGGGGAAGAGGACTTCTACCTTTGGAGCTGGATGTCCCCTTCACTTCATTCCAAGGGTCACTGGTTGCCCCACGGGAACCCAGAAACGGAGCGCACCGATATCCGCGCCTGGCGCACTTCGCCGCTGTCTTCTCTTTTCGGAGAGAAACATGTTTTTTTACGCTGGAAAGCTCACCCCAAAAGGGTCTTGAGCTTTTTTCTGGCCTCGTGGGACTTCCATTTGCTGAAGTGAATATTTAAGTTATTTGCCCCTGTTGGTTTCAAAGGGAATCTATCACGACTGTACTATGTTTGATTCTTTCCTGGAGACTTAAGCAAATGGGGGACTGAAATTGACTTGTTACCTTTTCGGTGAATCTCTGTGCAGAGAAATGGATGCACGGGGAGAGGGGCTTGTGCACACCTGGAGTCTTGATGGCCCCTAAATACCTAAATAGGGGGGGGGGAGGTGAATACGATCACGCCCAAATGAGCACTGCCCCCGTCTTTTAAGGGCCACGGAGATAGTGGGCAGGTTACAGCTATGGGGTTTCTGTGGCTATGGTTTTCGAGGGGAAGCCTCCCGCTTTCTGGGGCATAAGTTTCGCCCTTTGGTTCATTCGTACAGATGGCTCCCGGCTCTTTGGGCAAATGTTTCTTGTGGGTGTCTTTCCCCGAATTTCTGACGAGGAAGAGGACTTCTCAGGTACCCCGCCATTGGTTCTTTGGAGTGTTGGTTGTTTGGATTCGTGGTTTGGATTCGTATTTGAACCCTTGGTGTTTGTGGAGGGTAAAATGGGAACCCACTCCCCAAACAACTAAACCACCAATCCAAAGCACCAACTGGAAGGAAGTTGAGTACCCCCTTTTTTGTAATGACCACTGGGGGTCTGGGTTTTTTCAATATCCGTGTTGGTAGGGCGAGCCAGGCGCTGGGAAGATCGTCGCATGCGTTCATTCGTTTGATGCGTGTTTTGACTTGGGATGGTGTCTTGTTGCCTCCTGAGCTGTCCTCAGCGAACTTGTGCTGACCATGTTGCAATGGATTCATCGGGAAATGTGTGCAGCATTTGGGCTCCAATCTTCTGCTCAGTGCCCCGTGCTCCCGCTTTCGGTGACGCTGCTCGGTTGCTCAGTGGCGCCTTTTCCTCTTTTGTTTTAAAAATAGGATGCAAGGGCTGATGGGAGGGCCTTTCTTCCATACCAAATCCGGCCATTCACCCACTCACTGAGCCACCCACCCACCCCCACCCACACATCCAAACACCGCACGCCTGTACTGCTGGACGCCGGCAGAGAGACATGCAGACACATGCAGGTTGCCGACCTGCAGCCTTTGCTGTTGTCAAGAGCCTTGCATCCCCAGCATTTTCGGCCTCGCATCAGACACAAACACCTGCAGGTTGCCAACCTGCAGCCTTTGTTGTTGTCAAGACCCATGCGTCCCCAGCAATTTCGGCCTCGCATCAGACACAAACACCTGCAGGTTGCCGACCTGTAGCCTTTGTTGTCGTCAAGAGCCCAGCATTTTCGGCCTCGCATCAGACACAATCACCTGCAGGTTGCCGACCTGCAGCCTTCTTTGCTGTTGTCAAGAGCCTTGCATCCCCAGCATTTTCGGCCTCGCATCAGACACAATCACCTGCAGGTTGCCGACCTGCAGCGTTTGTTGTTGGTAAGAGCCTTGCATCCCCAGCAGTTTCGGCCTCGCATCAGACACCTGCAGGTTGCCGACCTGCAGTCTTTGTTGTTGTCAAGAGCCTTGCATCCCCAGCATTTTCGGCCTCGCATCAGACACAAACACCTGCAGGTTGCCAACCTGCAACCTTTGTTGTCATCATCCCCAGCATTTTCGGCCTCGCATCAGACACAATCACCTGCAGGTTGCCGACCTGCAGCCTTTGCTGTTGTCAACACCTTTGCATAGCCTCGCATCGAGACACAACACTTGCAGGTTGCCTTTGTTGTGGCCAAGAGCCTGCGTCCAGACACAAACACCCACAGGTTGCCAACCTGCAGCCTTTGTTGTTGTCAAGAGCCTTGCACCCAGCATTTTCGGCCTCGCATCAGACACAAGACCTGCAGCCTTTGTTGTTGTCAAAGAGCCTTGCATCCCCAGCATGGTCGGCCTCGCATCAGACACAAACACCAGCAGGTTGCCGACCTGCAGCCTTTGTTGTTGGTAAGAGCCTTGCATCCCCAGCATTCAGCCTTGCATTCAGACACAAACACCTGCAGGTTGCCAACCTGCAACCTTTGTTGTCATCAAGAGCCTTGCATCCCCAGCATTTTCGGCCTCGCATCAGACACAATCACCTGCAGGTTGCCGACCTGCAGCCTTTGCTGTTGTCAACACCTTTGCATAGCCTCGCATCGAGACACAACACTTGCAGGTTGCCTTTGTTGTGGCCAAGAGCCTGCGTCCACACACAAACACCCACAGGTTGCCAACCTGCAGCCTTTGTTGTTGTCGTTGTTGTTGTTGTTGTTGTTGTTGTTGTTGTTGTTGTTGTTGTTGTTGTTGTTGTTGTTGTTGTTGTTGTGTTGTTGTGGTTGTTGTGGTTGTTGTGGTTGTTGTGGTTGTTGTGGTTGTTGTGGTTGTTGTGGTTGTTGGTTGTTGGTTGTTGGTTGTTGGTTGCTGGTTGCTGGTTGCTGGTTGCTGGTTGTTGGTTTTTGGTTGTTGGTTGTTGGTTGCTGGTTGCTGGTTGCTGGTTGCCGGTTGCCGGTTGCCGGTTGCTGGTTGCTGTTTGTTGTTTGCTGTTTGCTGTTTGCTGTTTGTTGTTTGTTGTTTGTTGTTTGTTGTTTGTTGTTTGTTGTTTGTTGTTTGTTGTTTCTTGTTTGTTGTTTGTTGTTTGTTGTTTGTTGTTTGTTGTTTGTTGTGTGTTGTGTGTTGTGTGTTGTGTGTTGTGTGTTGTGTGTTGTGTGTTGTGTGTCGTGTGTTGTGTGTCGTGTGTTGTGCGTTGTGCGTTGTGTGTTGTGTGTTGTGTGTTGTGCGTTGTGCGTTGTGCGTTGTGTGTTGTGTGTTGTGTGCTGTGTGTTGTGTGTTGTGTGTTGTGTGTTGTGTGTTGTGTGTTGTGTGTTGTGTGTTGTGTGTTGTTTGTTGTTTGTTGTTTGTTGTTTGTTGTCTGTTGTTTGTTTTTTGTTTTTTGTTGTTTTTTGTTGTTTGTTTGTTGTTTGTTTGTTGTTTGTTTGTTGTTTGTTTGTTGTTTGTTGTTGTTGTTTGTTGTTTGTTTGTTTGTTTGTTTGTTTGTTTGTTTGTTTGTTTGGTTGGTTGTTTGTTTGTTTGTTTGTTGGTTGTTGTTGTTGTTGTTGTTGTTGTTGTTGTTGTTGTTGTTGTTGTTGTTGTTGTTGTTGTTGTTGTTGTTGGCGTCGTCGTCGGCGTCGTCGTCGTCAAGAGCCTTGCATCCCCAGTATTTTCGGCCTTGCATCCAGACACAACACCTTAGGTTGCCAACCTGCAGCCTTTGTTGCGCCAAGAGCCTTGCATCCCCAGCACCCAGACACAACACCTACACGCAGAGACAGACGCAGACAGAAACAGACAAATAAAAAAGAAACAATCAAGCGCGCAAACAAACAAGCCAGGAAGCAAGGAAGTAAGCAGGCAAGCAGGCAAGCAGGCAAGCAGGCAAGCAGGCAAGCAGGCAAGCAGGCAAGCAGGCAAGCAGGCAAGCAGGCAAGCAATCAATCAATCAATCAATCAATCAATCAATCAATCAACCAATCAATCAGTCAATCTGTCAATCTGTCAATCAATCCAATCAATCAATCAATCAATCAATCAATCAATCAATCAATCAATCAATCAATCAATCAATCAATCAATCAATCAATCAATCAATCAATCAATCAATCAATCAAGCAAGCAAGCAAGCAAGCAAGCAAGCAAGCAAGCAAGCAAGCAAGCAAGCAATCAATCAACCAATCAATCAATCAATCAATCAATGAATCAATGAATCAATGAATCAATGAGTCAATGAGTCAATGAGTCAATGAGTCAATGAATCAATCCATCCATCCATCCATCCATCCATCCATCCATCCATCCATCCATCCATCCATCCATCCACCAATCCATCAATCAACCAACCGATCAATCAAACAACACAAATACAGTCACACTCAAACACCCAAACATTGAAACACAGGCACAGAGACAGACACAGACACGTTGCCTTCGCGTGCGCGCACGAAGGCACGTTGCCTTCGCGAGAGACCATGGTGCGGCCTGTTGGCCCGGCATCGAGCGCCGGGCTCCGATCCCTCGCGGGAGAGCTGCCTTGAGGATTCCAGGCGCGAAGGCGCCTGGGTTGCGATGTCCTTTTCTTGGGACAGGTGCCCAGTGGCCCAGTGGTGCCTCTTTTTTTTTGGGGGGGGGAAGGGTTCTCCTTGAAACTCAACCAGCCAAGCAGGGATGCCCTTTTTGTTTCCCATGGCCACTAGGCATCTGAGTTTAGAACAGGTCCCTGTCAATATCATGGCAGTGGGCTCATCAATGTCCTTTTGCCTCTGTTGCAAAGGTCTTAGCCTAAAATGTCATTGCACCGCGAGCCCACCGCAGGTGGTGTCAGGTTCCAGGCACTAGTTCTTCCTCCTTTTGGTGGGTCTGTCTTTTTTCAGACCCCGGAAAAAACAGTTTGCCTTTTGGTTTGCCTTTCAACCGCCAAACAACGGGTACCCAAAAACAGGGGAAACGTTGTGGGAGGTGTTCTTTTCAAGGTCAACAAAGGCTCGCGGCTCGTGGCTGTTGGGCAAGCCCATCCAGCATGCCTGGGGGCCTGAAGGTCTAGAGGAGTTCCCTACCCCGGATCACTGCATCTAGTTGCTTGTCGTATGTATATATATATATAAATGTTTTTGTATGTTTGTGTTTGTGTTTCTGTGCGTTTGTTTGTTGTGTGTTTTGGTTGGTTGTTTTGTCATTACGTGTCTTGTGTTGTTTTGTTATATATATATACATACATGTATATGTTTTGTTTTGTTTTGTTTGTTTGTGTGTGTGTGTCTTTTTGTCTGTGTAATTTTGCATATGTGTATGTTTTCTGTCTGGGATAGTCGCAGAAATCACAGCCCCTTTTGTCCGTTCCGAGGAAACAAACGCGTCCGCCACCTTTGCCTCTGTCGTCGTGAGGCCAACGGAGACAGCTGCGTCTTCTCAGTGGTTCAAAGCTCCGACACCTCTGCACCCAGGACAGACATGGCCAGCCAGCCGAGCAAGAGGGGGTCGAACCCTTCTCTGTTGGCATGTTGTTAGGTTTGTGGTATTTGGTTTCTGTTCATTTTGTTTGGCTGCAAAACACAACATCTTCTGCTGCCATACCAAAAGTTGGAAAGTAACCACAATCTCTGGCGAGAATTGATTTGCCGCGCACGTAAATTGATTGGCCCCCCTTGAGTTCAAACCGTTAGTGCCAGGGTATGAACAGCGGTTGGATGTTTTCTCGGTTCTTCTCTTGAGGAGCGGTTTTTAGCCTTGGTGCTGGGGATGCCAGAGCAATCAGGGGACTTTGCAAGAGCTTGGTTGCGGTTGTAGATGGACCTCTGGGCATGACTTCTGAAATGGGTGTGCTTTCTTTGGGGGTATCCATGTTGGGGGTAAAGGATAAATCGAAAAGGAAGCCATCCTGGGTTTTCCATTTAGAGATTCCAGTGGTGTAGATTGGTTTCATGTCCCGTTTGGAAGGGACACCTATGATTGCAAACGCACGCTCAGGAATCTAACCTTGGCGGTTCCCAGCCATCCGGTTCCTTAGACTTTTGGGTTTTAGTTGGTTTAGTGGTTGGGTTTCCATTCAATTTACAACTTAGTCACTTTTAGCAGGAGAGCTGAGAACGGAGAGCCCGGTTGGGTTGGCAATGCGGGGTTCGGAAGCCTAAAATCACCGGGCAAAACATCCGCATCGGGCCATCGGAATATGCCGATCATCTCCATGTGGGACGCACTTTTTTCTTTGCGGGTTTTCCCATGTCTTCCATTTACTTGAGAATATGTTTTATTTTCCCCAGTTGGTCTTAAAGCCAACCTATCACCACTGGACATATGTTCTTCTTTTCTCCAGGGGACAAAAACGCAAATGGAAGATGTCAGTGGCAACAGCCAGGGGACCCCGGACCCCCGTTTTCCATAAAAAGGTGCAGGCTTCACCGCACCCAACTCGCTCGAGGACGGCGCCAGACAGTGTGCGGATTGCAGCACTCAGCGGCTCAGCGTGACGGCGTGAGCTGTGAGCAGAACATCGCGTGCCTCGGTCCAAGACGCGCCTTCGGCTCCGTGAATTCACCTGAAGCCAGTGATTCCATGTCCTTTTTTTTGAAGGCAACGAAGGGAACCAGCCTTCAAAAACAAAAAAAGACTGTGGCTGGTTACCAACATTTGGCCACTGGGATTTGGGCAATGTTCTATGATGCCCATCCCGTACCCGGAAGAAACCAAAGAAAATAGAGTTGGTACCCCGAGCCAAACGGTTCATTAAAAAACAAGAAAAGCTGCTTTCCACGATTCAAATCTGGGAGAAAAGGATCCACTCGCCGTGTGACTACTGTTGACCAAGCTTTTGAGGCCCTCCCGGTACCGATTTCTTTGATTTCGCGTGATGCGTTGTGCCGGAAAGTAGGCAACGCCAAACGCTTGGGCTCCGTTTGCGGGAAGGACTGTGGGAGCAACTATAGCTCACTTCAAAGTAAGTTATTCGTGGCGCAATTGTTTAGAGTGGACTTATGGTACACGCCTGCACTCGAACGCAACAGTCAGACATTTCGTTCAAATGTCAAGGACTTGTAAAGTTTGTGTCAGAAGCACAAACGTCACATCTCTCAGCCGGCCAATTGAACCATTCCAATCCAGCTTTGGCTCGAGACAGTGAGGTCTTGAGCTTGTCGCCCATGGACGTCCGCAGGCATGGCGCACTTCTGGTGCTGGTGCTCGCTGGGCGACTTGCCTTCGCAGTGCCTCCGGCGGCCTTCGGTGCGACCGCCTCGGCGGCTCGGTCTGAGGTCACCTTGGCAGCGAAGCCGGGGAAGGCCCCAAAAGCCGCGGTGGACAATCGGGCCAACCAGATGAATCCAAACAATCCGCGTTATCAGACGAAGGCGAAGAAGGTGGCACAATCTGGCAGGGCGGTGTTGAACAACCAAGCCAACCATGCGAACCAGATGAATCCAAATCATCCGGCATTCCAACAATCTCGTCGTCTCTTGCCGCTCGAGGGTGAGCAGCGGCAAAGGTTCGCGCAAAAGAAGAAGCAGCAGAATACAAACGAGGGACACTGGGCAAGACGGGCTCAGCTAAAGACTGCAAATGACAAGCTGCCCACACACGCGTTTGATTCGTTTTTGCGGGAGCTAAGGAAAGTTGTTCCTTCCGCACAGGTTCGAAAGACTGGTTCACGAAACAAGGGTACTGCCATCGGTGGCTCTGATTGGGACTATCATATCACAAGCGAGCCCATGTCGACGCAGCAGCGTGACCAGATACTGACGCATTGCCAAGCATTTGGGATCAAAGTTACGTGCAGCAAGGCCTTTACGATGGAATCACAGGGAGCGTCCATTGACTTCTTTCCACCAAACGCTGAGTGGCATGACAAGGTGTCAGTCCAAAAACCTGGGAGTGTGAAGTTCGATCACGGGGCTAAGAATGCAATCAAATCCCTGAAAGATACAGTTCCTGGAGAAGTATCGCATGCTCTGGAGCAGCTTCTTCTAGAAATTCAGAGGGACAAAGGGTGGTCAGACAAGAACGATCCCTCAGGCCAAAAGCGGTTTCAGGAAGCCCAACGAAGGCTTTGCAACAGAGGATGCTAATGCCCCCGGATTTGCCTGCGGGATGGAAAAGCGAGGTTGCATAGCGAGTATCAGCGTCGCATTTGTTGAAGCCGAGATTGAGCAGGGTGCTCATTATTTTAGCGCTAGGGCAAACTGCTGGTTTTTGTCTTTGGTTCCATTTACCAAAGTGCCATTTTGGTTTCCGTTTTTTGGAGACCAGGATTTCGATTTTTTTTCCTTAAGAGCTTGGGTGGGAGCCCATTGCCGAGTGCCAGTTTGAGAGAAAAGAGTGTTTGATGAGTGCCAAACAGGAGGCCATGAGTACCAAATACAGATACGTCAGCATGTATTTCCAAGATGTCGATATGTGCCGCCGAAAGTACCTGGAAGGCTTTGGATTCTGCAGAACACAAGTTTCTCTTTAGACCAGATTTTGATTCCGATCTCGCTTTCATGGGCCCCCGAATCGATGTCGCGCGTTGCGAATCGTTCGCTGCGATTCGGCTGCCACGTTCGGAGCGGGACGACGTTTCGTCGTGGTTTTGCTCTCAGCCCAGGGGACTCGGCGCCAACCCGCAGAGCGCGTCTGGATGTCGGCGAGCCGGCCTTGTGGCCGCAAAAGTAGGGGTCGGAAGCCCCGCGGAACCGAAACGGTGCGGGGAGTCGAAGACTGGCTCGGCCCTTCGCAGACCTCGGGATGTATTGTCACGAGCTCAACCTGGGGGGGAAATGGAGCTTGGGGTGTCTGGCTTGCGAAGTCTCGTGCTTCTCAGAGGAAGGTGGTACCCTTGTTGGGTTGACTTTTAAAGGGAGATCAAAGGAAGCCCTGCGCTCTGGAGGAGCCCAAGAAAGCTGGCTTAGAAGCAACGGGCCATAGAAGCCATGTCTCGTAAAAAACAAGCTGCTTTCCACTGTTGGATTTCCACTGTTGGTCTTAAAGGGAATCTTATCACTATTGGAAATAGTTTTATTTTCTCCGGGGGTCTGAACCAAATGGAAGGCCATCTTAGGGTTCTATTGTTTCGAGACCCCAGTATCTTGGCTCAATGCCGGCCCAAGGACTGACCCCGAAGCTGACATGCGACTCAGCCACGCCCAAGCCCACAGCACCTTTCCAATTCGGCAGCACGCTCACCCAGAAAAAGAGCGTCGCCTTTGCAACAGCAAATGTGTGGAAGCTTAAAACAAAACATATGCGTCCGAAGAGACAGGGTTGCTTGCTTCGAGAGGTGCACATGTGTTTCATTCTTGCACTCGAATTTGGCTGGCCGGCGAGCGGTGCTAACTGGTGACTCACAAGCCCCAGTTACCCACTGGGTTTGGATGGCCGGGAGATCCAAACTCATGGCTGGAAGGCTCCGCCTGTGTTCTTGGCCGTTCGGCGATTAACTTTCTGGAAACACCTGGCGGGGGGTTGATGTTAGGCACCCCAATTTTGACATTTGATGGATGCCAGGTTCAGTTTGATTGTCACTTGCCACTGACAGCGACGTTTCTTCCAAATGGACGCCGAACCTGCGTCAGTCTTCCTTTGGGTAGCCCAAGCTCCGAACCGCGCTTTGGGGTCAAGAAACAGGGGTGCTGCAAGCCTTCCGATGATCAAACCACAAGGATCAACAGGGCCCCTTAAAAGATACATTTGCCCATTCAAAACATGGCTTTTCCACAATAAAGGGAAACCACCATTTGCAAAGCAATGTTCAGGTGTAAAATGTAAGGATCCCTGATCAAAGTATGGTTTACTTTTGCCGTCTCCCGAGTTCAAGTTCCTGGACTTGATCTCAACTTTTTGGGAAGACCATGTTAGTGCTTTTGACAAGCAGTTTGGACCTTGTTTGGCCAATCCACAGGAAGTCTTCTTTTGTTTTCCTGGGGAGAGTTGCTTGAGTTTCTCTTTTATGTCCCCCAGTAATGCTTTTGTCCTTTTTGGGTGGGAGAGCTCCCCTACTAAAATAGACAAAACCGGAAAAATCGGGTACCAACTTATTCGAATCCCTACTGGACCTAGTCTTTTAGACCAACTTTCGACCCGGCTGTGCCCCTGACTCAGATCGCAGGCAGACCGAAGGCGAAAGCCCAAGGCGCAAGAGATGGGCCGTTGTGCTTGGGCAGGGTGTCCACTTTGCTTTTGGAAAGGTACATGATGTACAGGTTGTTGTTGGGAAGCATTGTAGATTTTTGCTTATGGTTGAGTGGTTGAAATCCAACCACTCAACTGCTAAACAATTAAATGGTTGTTCCCCTTTCAACGTCAACCAAGGTTGGCTTCAACCCATTGGAATGACCCCGGACCCCTTTTGGGGCACATCAGATCCCCCTTTTCGGGGCAGGGGAAGCCTGTGCCTGTGTCCCATGGCGAAGCCAAAGGTCAACAACTCCCGGGTTATTCCTGCTGCAACGGGAAGCAAAGGGTTCCCGGAACACTTCCCTCTTAGGACCCCATGTGGCACGGGTGAACCCCCCCCCTAGAGATTCCCGAAATTTGTGATGGTGAGCTATAGTGCAGATGTGCCGATTAGTTTGGGGGAGGGGGCTGGGGGTGGTGTTCGGTCCCAAAGGCAGTTGGTTTGAATCCATAAACTCACAAGACGTCTACGCCCATGAGGCGTCTACGCCCACACAATTGACAAACACAGACACAGCCACACACAGAGAGAGAGAGACACACAAACAGACACACACACACAGACACAGACATGCCAAATATCTCTGTCAGCCATAATGTGTTTATGTGGATTGTGTGTCACTCAACGTTTTTCTCCAATACGCCCGAACTTGAATCAGTTGTAGATCCCGTAAAGCGGATCAAGTGAGACTTTACCACAAACCTGAAGAGAGGCGGACATCCGCCTTCACTGTGGGCGTGGGATAAACTTCTTCAATACTAGGTTTCGATTGCCCACTAGTGAGGCTTGGCCCACGCTGGACATCGAGTTTGGATGACGGGAAGCCCTGCCCCAAGTCTTTGCGGCAACCAATCACCGAGGTTTCTTCTACAACCCGCCGAACTGAAACCAGGCGATAGTATGTTGTGCGAACAGGGCAAGCACACCCCATTGAAGACCTTGAAGCTTGGGTAGACGAAAAGTAGAGGTGTATAGCCGTCGACCGGATTAAATTCCTTAGCAGTTTGTGCGTTAGTTCCCTGCAATCTTCATCCAAGGCCCCTCACCTCCACCCCGTGGGGCAAACAAAGCCTGAGTATACACCTTTGGTTCGCTAAGGCTTACTTAAAGGGGCAGGGTACTTAGGAAGTGGTTAGTAAGCCTGGTTATAACCCACTTAGGGAACTTATATCCACGGTAAGTGGGTTATAACTAGGCTTACTATCCACTTACGTACCCGATCGCCCCTTAAGGTAGTAAGCCCTGGTAAGGCCATGATCCCCGGACTTTTGGGCTTTATTCTGTGGAAATGTTCGGGGCCTTGGCCAGGTGTGAAGACGCCCGCGGGAGCCCAAGACTTTGGTCTCTCTCTCTCTCTCTCTTTCTCTCTTTGTCTCTTTGTCGCTCCTACTCTCTTTCTCTCTTTCTCTTTTTTTCCCTCTTTTTTTCTTTCTTGCTTGCTTTCGTTCTTTCTTTATTTGTCTTTCTTATCTTTATTTATCTCTTTCTCTTTATCTTTCTCTCTCCTTTCTTTATGCATTTCGCGATGTCGTTCCATTTGTTGGTCTTTGTTCTTCCCTTCTTCTTTTCTACATGAGCACAACGTGATTGGATCCATGATGCTGGGATTCCATGTCCCTAGACTAGAAGGAAAATGGCCAATGGGTGGGAGGGTATTCCATACATGTGCGCCATTTCTGCCTTGCCTTTTTGGATGGAAAAAGGGTTTTGGTTGGTCATGGGGCATGTCCTTCCATGCAAGATCTATGGGCAGAGTCAGGCTTCTTTGGGGAACCTCAAAACGAATCAACTTTGCCGCTCCACAAGGGATCCACAAGCCCCTGATCTTTTTGGGCCCCTCTTTGCGGATCTCCCAACTCACGAGGGGGCAAGAAGCTGGGGGCAAAGATGCGCTGCTTCAGCCAATGAGTTCCCTTCAGATCCAAGCGCCCATCGGTAAAGTTGAGTCTCTGGTCAACATTTGAGATTTTTGGGAGCTGGTCAGCAAGTCCCTACATGGATTGAGAGCCTACAATGAATTTTCGCAATCTGTGTCAACCAGGCTCATTTGCCAGGGCCAGCCAAGCTCGTCCCCTGATCCACCAGCCCGAAGGTACCGGGGTGATCATCGGTGAGCGACAAAGATGGTCATTCAATTGCCCCTCATCACACGGCAATGATTCCCCTGCAGACAAACGCCTATGACGCACCTGCAAAGAAATGAGGGCCTACAGGGACTCCCTTCTTTGGCTGCGAACGGCCCCATAGGGGAACCAGGGTAGGTACTTGTCGCCAATGGCGGAGCGAAGCGGGGAGCTAAGGTGCGGCCGGCGACGCCGAAGAGCCGCAGGCGGACCGGCTGGCATCAAAAGCAGTTGGGTGTGTTTCATTTTGTTGTTCTGTCGGAATGAGTGAGCCAGCTGGCTGAGGCACCAAACGTGTTTGACACCAAAAGCAGCCAGCCTTTTCTTTGGGGTGGGGTGGGGATGTGGGGGAAGGAATCTAATGGGACAAATGATCGGAACGGCCTTCTCGGGGGCCTTTTCCCTCGGTTTGGTTCCTTTGCATGTGGCAAACATTGAAAAGAAACCCGCATGACCCCAGCTTTTGGTGGCGGGAAATTCAGCGTTTCCCCGTCATTGACTAGCACATCATGCGCCGTGTTGCCAATGGCTCACATGTGACTTTTGCTTGGTTCCCCTCCTTTGCGGTAAAGGGAAACGGAAAAGGGGGGTTGGAGATATCACAACTCAACCATCAGCAATTCCCAGTTTTTAACCCCAACATTCTCCGCACACCTCGTGAATCCAAACGAGCAATGACCTGCACTTGCGACGCGCTCAACCAAAAAGACCCGCACGCGAAAGGCCTTTGGGCTGAGGCTTGTCGTTGCAGAGGGTCAGTTTGCCCAAACCCTTTGGCCGGTGGAACGCACGTTGCCAGGCAGGAGGAGCCTGTGGCCAAGGCGGGAGAGCAGTGAACCCGTAAGTGATGAGAAGCCCAGGTGCATTTTGGGTTTTTCTCAAAATGGAGGACCCAAAATGGTTGGTTTTGTTTTGGTTTCCCTTTAAATCTAAGCAAAAGAGGTTCCCCCCCCCCCAAAAAAAAAAACGCCCATATGAGTCAGATAGAAAAGCCACAGAACCCTGGGTGTGCATAGCAGTACGTGGGTTGACTGGATAGCTTTGAGAATTCATCAGGCCGTTGGGGCTCAGAATTCTTTCTTTCAAAAGAGCGCCGTGGATTCGGGGTGAGCATAGGCTTCCTATCCTTTTCCGATGGCTTTCCTGACGCGTCCCATGCCACGTGACCGAGCTCAGTAAATCCCACGAGCCGTTTTGCTACAGGTGACACAGTGGGACCATCCCGTTGAGCAAACGTGTGCATCTCCTGGGTTTCCTTTTTGTTTGACCATTTGGTCCTTCACCCGGAGCTTTTGCTTGACGCCATGTTGAAACAGGACGCAAAAAGGTTCTTTGTTGAAGCGCGTTTTTGCTCCTTTCCCTTCTTCTCTTTGGAGGGTCTCCTGCTAAAAACAACTGCCAACCACAGGGTGCCGGTTTTGTCCACGGCCACTGGGGGCCTGTGTTGGTCCACCAGGGGTGTAAAAAAGTCCCTGGTTGGGGTTCCCAATACATAGGGACGCCCTCTTACACGGACCGAAACGCCTGCCAGACTCCGGCACCCTTGACGGCACGCGGGCCCTGCACGCCCTATACGCCCAAGATGGAGGCCGCAAGCTTTTCGGGGGCTGATGCGAACTCACTCCCAGCACTATAGAAAGGACCCGGCCATATGTCCTTGCAGCTTTTAAGCTTTCAAGTTGCGGTTCTTACCTGTTATATTCCCACTCCCTGAGATCCTGGACTTGATACTTTTTGAGTCTGGACTAGTTTAGTGGTCAACAGTTTGGCCCTTTGTTAGCCAATCCACTGAGGAAGTGACTTAATACTGACTGCAATGGACGTGAGCCTTTAGAGTTGTCAATGTCCATCAGAAGCAATCCTAGAAGGGGAACGGTGTCCTGTGTGGACTATGATTTGTTAGCTTAGAAGGGGCTTGTATCAACCCTTGAATGAATGTCGTTGCGCCGCGAATACAGTACAGGTTGGCACGGGCGACGACTATGACCCCCGATTTTGCACGCGTACCAACTATATAGATGGTCCCTTACTTCAGTGCGCCTTGCTTGCCCAACTGGCCAGGGGGGATAACCTATGGCTCCATATTGGGGATGAACATCCATTTGCCACCTATTTTGATGTTCACCAGGGGTTTCCTGGGTTTTGACCCACAGCCAACTTTCTACAAACTCGTCTCGACCGGCTGGGCCATATGTTCACCTAGCTGTGCCTTGCTTGGCCCTCCGAGGGGACCTCAGCGTGACGTGACAAACGGACCGGAACACGTGCCAGGATCTGTTGACCCTTTTGGGGTCGGTATGAAAATGAACCCTTTAGTCCCTGTCGCAGTTGGCTACCGCCCATTTTCTCGTGGGATCGGGGTGGAAGCAGCGTTGGCCCGAAGTTGATTTCTATAATTTGAAGAGTCCTTAAAACCTAAAAGAAAGGGGTTGCCTTCATTTGAATAGCGGTTTGTTTGCTTCCTGTTTGGCTTCCTGTTTGGCTTCTTGTTTGGTTTAGTTTGTTTTTGCCGTTAGCTTTGGCAGTTGCTTGTGTTGTTCATGTTTCTTCAATCTGTTCTTGTTCTTCTTCTTTGGCTAATGGCTTTCTGTTGGCTTTCGGCTGGTTTCTAGGGGTAACTTCCCCATTCTTTCCAGGGATCCTTCCTTCTAGAAAACCACCAAAGACCCTGGGGAAACAGCGATGTTTTTGAAAAGAACGATGGCTGAAAAGAATGGAAAAGGAGTCAACCCCTAGATGGCTCCTTGCTCACCTCCCCGAAACATCTCGCCTTCGGCTCGCCGCCTCGCCGCCTTCGGCTCGCCGCCAGCACCGGGCGCCCTTGACAGCGCGCACCCCGGCCACGCGCACGCCGGCCACGGGGCGCTCGCCCTCCTCGCGGTCTGCTGGGGCCCCGGGCCGGCGACGAGGAATCGCGTGGAGGGAGTTCTCCATACTGCTTAAGCCGGCTGCAAAGAGAAAAGTCCAGTGAATCGATTTCCTTGAAAGCCAACAAGGGGAACACAGAATATTCTGGCAGGAATCATGCTGTGGATTTTTTGCGCGCTCCGTTCGCAGCACCGTCCAGAAACCATGGTTGAAACTATTGTTTGTTGGTATGTACAGGGGAATCATGTCATTCCAGGGTTTCTGCACCGTTCGAAAACCATAGGTTGAAACCACAACGTTTCTTTGGATTTCGTCCATCCACAGTAGGTGGGGGCAGAACGAGGGCAGCGCGGGGGAGGGGGTTCTTTGTACATGGGTTGTTTTCACGAAGTGGTTTGTCTCAAATGAGGCCCCTTTCGCAAGAGGTTCCCAGGTTTCCCCCGAGTGCAGGCCTTTTTTGGCTTGGGCCTGTCCCATGCACCGGTGTTTCCCTGCGTACTTGTGGGGTACTCGACGCCAGATGGAGCCGGCTGTTGAGCGCCCGTTGTTTTGAAGTGAGGCGCTAGCCTCCCATTTGGCCTGGCCGGTTTCTTAAGCCCACTGAGTTTGCAGCCTCGCATACACCTGTCTTGGATGACAACATCAGGTGTCTATGGAAAAGCCACGAAGCCACTTGAGTGCAGTATTGGACAAGCCGGAACTTGGATGGGCATTTATTGATTTAGACAATGGTCGTTGCCAGTGTCCAGCTTTTTGCTGCGCCTCACCACAGTTTTACATCAAGAAGGACTCGCATGCGAACAGGATTGACGCTGGGCTTTGGCGGCTTGGCAACAGCACGTTGAAAGCAACTATGGACTATACATAAAGCGGGGCATCATTTGGGCGACAAGCTTCAAGAGACTGTGAGTGCGGGATGTAGGCGTGTTTGTTTGCACGAAGTTAAGCGTTTATAATATGACATGTCCATGCTTTATACGTCAGAACTACACGTTGTTCATGTCAAGTTCTCAAAACACTGGGCCCTTTCTCTTTGCAGGCGTGGTTTGAGCACAATTCAGTCATTGGTTGTTTGGGCATCAAAGGGGATCAATAGCAACATCATTCAATGGGCTTGTGCCAACCAAAGGCCAAGTAGGCTTCATGATCTACCGGTCCACTTTGCAGGCTTATGTTGTATTTGTGAGACCAGCCAGAAGATTTGCATGAAGTTGGCCGAACAAAGGCACAGCTCGCTGAGCGAAATATTTCTTGGTACATCCGGGGCTTTCTCACGACCATGGTTGCATGTGTCCCAATTTATTTCCGTGGTTGTTTGAACATCGTTTCCTTGGCTCATAGGTGAGTTCTCCCCGTTCCCGGGTGATGTTCCAAGAGGGTCAACTTTGGAGAACCCTGTAAGAGTTGCCCATGGCTACGGTACTGCCCGTGTTCAGTTCCATTCCTTACGCGCGCTTTCCGCTCCGCTGACTCTTCGTGGCTCTGGCAATTGGGCTCTTAGACTCCAATTAGCCCGTTGGACATCCCTAAGGTGTAAGGTGAATTTCTTTTATCCCCAAACCACCTCTGCAGCTTTCATGATAGATGCAGCCACTATGGAACCTCTGTTTGAAAGATATGGGTGTGGCTCAAAATTTAAGAGCCAGGGTTGCAAAGGTTTTAGTCTTTGGTTTCATTTACCCAGGTGCCATTTTGGGTACCTATTTTTGAGTCGGCTTTTTGGCGCGGCCATGTCGGTTCATCGGAGCGCTGCGTTTGGCGCAAGGCGGGGGGTTCCCCAGCTGGGCGTTGGGCTATGAGGTTCAGGGCGAGTTCGTCTTAGCGGCCAGAGTTTGATCGCAATGTTTCTGTGTTGTTAATGCGATTTGTTTAGCTTGCGACGGACGACTGCTTTTGCTACAGAAAACACGTCAGGGATTCTGGCGAGTTCCTCTCAAGACTGCAAGCTCACATTCATTTGTGCCCCGGAACGCACGGTTTGACTTGGTATTGATGTACTCGAGCACATGTCCGTGAGTCTTGTTGGGTGCGGTTTTCCAAGAGCGGCGAAGGGTTCTTCAGCCGAGAGATGAAGACTGCCTCAATAATATCACTGCCTAGATATCACTGCTTCAGCAGCGCCATCACTGTGTAAATAACTGACACACTCGTGGTCGTGGTCGTGGTTCGTCGTGGTTCGTCGTCGGTTCGTCGTCGTCGTCGTCGTCGTCGTCGTCGTCGTCGTCGTCGTCGTCGTCGTCGTCGTCGTCGTCGTCGTCGTCGTGTTTGTCGTCGTTGTCGTCGCTTTTGTCATTGTCGTCATCGCCGCCGTCGTTGTTGTGACCATCGTGGTTGTTGTTGCAATTGTTGTTGTAATGGTCATGCTGGTTGCATTGTACTTGTCGATGTTGTTACTTCGGACCAAATGTGTTAGACAATCTAACCAATTTTTTGGGACATCCGACCCATGTCATTGTCGAGTTTGAAGACTCGACCTGACCCCCCGAATTGATCCAAAGTGTAGATTCCTGGCCAGGACGGCTCAAGCTGTTAGCTGGTGTCCGCACCTTACCCCCAACTTACTGCCGACCATGATGTCATGGTCTTTGAATCGCCTTGCCAGCCTCAGCGTGTTGCTGGGCTTGGCTTTGACTGAGGAATGCCAGTGACGTGGCTCAACTTTTTGGGCCCCAAGGGCGCATTCGGGGTGTTCGGGGCCCGTTCAGAGTGCCATGGCACTCTGCAGATGTTCCATGCTTCCAATTACAGACCTGGGTCTTCCATTTGGTCACTTTTTAGGGCTCTGGGCATTTTTTGTTTGCTCGTTTCAGATTTTGAGCGGAAAAACTAAAAATGAGCGGAAATCTTGTTTTGGCATAATTTGGCAAGTTGTCTCCCGGAAAATGAGCGGAAATCGGCGGAGCGGAAATCGGCGGGAAATGAGCGGAAATGTGCGGACACGCACCAGAACCACTTTCCAATTGAGCGTTTTCTTTCCAATTGAGCGTTTTTGGATGAAATGAGCGTTATTTTTTGCTCGAAACGGGAAAATCCAGAAAAAAGTGCCCACAGAAGAAACGTGCGCAGGCACAAGGATAGATGATTAGATGGTGGATATTTGTTTGGATAGATATTGATTGCTCATCGTTTCATATTTCAAGTTTTAGAGCAATTAGAAGCGCTTGCTCCTTGCTTCTCAATTCAGTCCTCCCATTTGAGTTCTGAGCAACTCACTGCGCACCACTTCACAACTCAGGCCGAGCGGCCGTGCTCTTTTGCAAACCGCTGTGGTGAAGTCGGCCCAAGTGGCTCCGGTTTGTTCATCTTGGAAGCTGGAGATTGCCGCTGAGAACAGAGATTGGGAAGCGCATATCTTCGAGATAGAGCTCTACAGCGGCGATCACCTGATTTCAGGAGCAGGCATGGGAACTGCCACTTCGGATTGTGAGCGCTCCTCTGCTGGTGGCGCCTTTGATGGAGACACGAGCACCAAGTGGGTTACTTGCTCTGGCAACAAGGTTGGAAAGAGCGTGACCTACGAGTTGAACCAGCCAAATGGCGTGACCAAGATCAAGACTGTGCAGTGGGGCAGTGCCAACAATGCCATTCCCAAGTTTGCCTTGTACTGCTCGACGGACGAGGTCACCTTCTCCTATGTCTGGACGGCAGACTTGGGTACTGGTGCTAGCACCAATGAGGCCGTGTCGGGGCTTTCCGCTCCCAGTCCTGACCAGGTTGCCAGTTTTGCTGCCCCAACCACCACCACCACAACTTTGGACCCAGCGCTGGCAGCGAAACTTAGGATCTTCGTGACGAGTGAGAAGCCTGGCGAATATCGGTATGTGTCAAAATTGGGGGTGGGAAGACCCAACAAATGTTTGTTTCCCTTGATTAACGAACCCGCAAGCCAAGGTGAATAGGGTGCCTTCAAATAAACACACACACACACACACACACACACACACACACACACACACACACACACACACACACACACACACACACCCACGCGCGCGCGCACGCACGCACGCACGCACGCACGCACGCACGCACGCACGCACGCACGCACGCACGCACGCACGCACGCACGCACGCACGCACGCACGCACGCACGCACGCAGCCACCCACACACACACACACACACACACACACACACACACACACACACACACACACACACACACACACACACACACACACACACACACACACGCACGCACGCACGCACGCACGCACGCTCGCACGCACGCACGCACGCACGCACGCACGCACGCACGCACGCACGCACGCACGCACGCACGCCCGCACGCACGCACGCACGCACGCACGCACGCACGCACGCACGCACGCACGCACGCACGCACGCACGCACGCACGCACGCACGCACGCACGCACGCACGCACGCACGCACGCACGCACGCACGCACGCACGCACGCACGCACGCACGCACGACGCACGCACGCACGCACGCACGCACGCACGCACGCACGCACGCACACACGCACGCACGCACGCACAAACGCGCACGCACGCACGCACGCACGCACGCACGCACGCACGCACGCACGCACGCACGCACGCACGCACGCCCGCCCGCCCGCACGCACGCACGCACGCACGCACGCACGCACGCACGCACGCACGCACGCACGCACGCACGCACGCACGCACGCACGCACGCACGCACGCACGCACGCACGCACGCACGCACGCACGCACGCACGCACGCACGCACGCAGCCACGC